CTCGATGAATCGCTGTCTCGACCGCGGACTTTGGCCCGGGGATCGGCCGAACGCCGCGTGATTCACCGCGGCCGAGTCAGATCAAGTGGCAGCCGCCGCCCGTGGGTCACGCCCGGGGGGCGCCGATGGGCAAGATGCTGCCGGCAGCGCGCCAGGGCGTCCCGGAGAAGGGCGCTGCGCCCAGCGACGTCAGCAGCCAGGCGATCCGCGAAGAGATGAGCCAGCCCGCGGCGCAGAGCGAGCAGAAGGTGCGCGACGACAATGGGCGGGGCGATGCCACCTCGGAGTCGGCAGCGCCGACAGTGGCGGGCGACGCCGTCGAGTTCGGGCGCGCTGCAGAGCTGGCCGAGATGAAGCGGAAGCTCGGGGGGATGCAGCAGCAGCTGCTGGAGGCGCAGGCGACATCAGCCCGCGGGTTTACGCGGGTGGCGTGGCCGCTACTAGCATGCACATGTCATTTTCGCCCTTGCCAGCGACCCGCCCTATCTCATCCTCGTCCTGACGCGCGGAAGAAGGGCGTCGAGTCGCCTCCGCACTTCCACCCCGATGTTGCTCCTCAAACGATGCGGGCCCAGCCGATGTTCCTGCGGCGCCGCCGCGCGCGCGAGGGTCTGCTGCGACGCCTGCGACATGCCCGCCAGAGAGGCGCGACTCGTCCAAGTCGATGAGGGCCCGCAGCGAGGCGGAGAACGCCATGGTGGCCAAGCAGGGCGCCCGACAGCCGGCGGCGATGACGGACCGGGTGCCCGCGGAGGCGCCCGCGGCGGCGGCCGCTGAGCTGGCGGGCGCGGGCGCGGGGGCGGCGGCGGCCAGCTCGGGCTGCCAGGGCAGCGCCGCGGCGGCTCCGGCTCATCGGGCAGAGATGAGGGGGATTGAGCGCGCGCTGCAGGGCGCAGCGGGCGCAACGGCGGTTGTTGGGGGGGGGCGGGGCGGGGGCGGGGTGTGTGTGAGCAATTGTGGAAGGGCCAGCCAATAGCTAGCTGGGCACGCGCGAGGGGGGACTTGGCGGCCCTAGGGCGGGGGCAGCGCTGGGGGTCGCGGGGGGCCAGCAGGGCGCGAACGCCGTGGACAGTCCGTTCAGCACCTCCGAGAAGATGGATTCGGTCGCGGCCCTCAAGCGCGGCCAGGCAAACAGCGCGAAGCAAGTGGAGGGGCGCGGGCCGTTTGACCAGCCGGACTCACCCAGGGGGGCGCACAGGTGGATGAAGAAGATGAGAATAATGAAGGAGGGTTGGCAGGGGGAGGAGGAGGGGGGGGGTCGATGGGGGGTGGTTGGCGTGCGAGATGCGCGGAGGCATGCGCGAGCGCCGGGGGGGCGGGGGGGGCGGGGCGCGCGGCAAATGGCCAATTGTTCCCGAGGAGCTGCTTCGTGGGGGCGGCCTCGCTGACGGGCCCGAGGTCTACGATTTGCTGAAGGACTTAATGCGCTGCGACGACGTGACGAAGCTGATGGGGCTGAACGGCATTTCTGCCAACCGCCTCAAGATGCGCGAGAAGGCGCCCGTGGGCGACGACGCCGAGGGCTCCGAGGTCGCCGAGAACCTGGCGGCCGCCGAGGCTCGGGAGGCGGAGTTCGGGAAAAGATGCAGGCAACTGGCTTCAACTTCTTGCCTAATGCGCGCAACGGCCGTTCGGCCGCCGCCCGTGTCGCTCGCGCTTGCTCGCGACCCTGGTCTCAAGGCCCGCTGCGAGGCCTTCAGGGGCAACGATGCTGGCCCCCCCCCCCCCGCGTTCAGGCAGCGGCGGGGCAATGATGTGCGCGCAAAGTGCGTCGAGACCCTCTGGGGGGCAACGTGCTGCAAGAAGGCGACCTGGACGCGCGGGGCACGCGTCCCCGCGGGCCGCGTCGCCCGCGAGGAGGGCGGTGGCAAGCTATGCTGGCTGCAGGCCACCTCTGGTATCAATGGCCGCCTCCTCCCCCTCCAGCCGTATCTCACTCCTCGTCCTCCACCTCTTCTTCTTCCTCCGCTTCCCCCTCCACAATTATTCAATATGAATGCTACTTTCCCTCTTCCCCTGATGGCGTGCTGGGAGTAGCCGACCCCCCCCGTCCTGTTTTTTTACGCGCAGGTTTTCCGGGAGTTGGGTTTTCGCTTGCATTTTTTTTCGAAATGCTGCTCTCGCTGAGGCGCCGGCCTCATTTTCGGGCCCCGCTCGTTCCGAATCGTGCTCCCGCTGCAGCGCTGGCTTCATTTCAGTGCTTCCGCTCGTTCCGAATCGTGCTCCCGCTGCAGCGCTGGCTTCATTTCCGCGCTTCCGCCCGTTTCGACTCGTGCTCCCGCTGCAGCGCTGGCGGCATGTCCCGTGCCATGCCACAGCACACGCGCGCGCGCGCCGCCACCACCACCGCCACCACCACCACCACCACCACAACCACCACCAGCACCACCACCAGCACCAGCACCAGCGCCAGCAGCAGCAGCACCACCACCACCACCGCCGCAACCGCGCACACACGCGCGCACGCACGCACGCGCACCACCACCCACTACGCACGCGCGCGCGGAGCCACAGGTCCGCTACGACACGCGTCCGCGGATAGAGAAAATCAGCGCCATGGTAAGGGGTGGGGGGGAGGGGTAGGACGTCAGATATGACGCGAGCGCACCTAGCTTGTCCTCCCCCTCCTCCTCCTCCTCCTCCTCCTCCTCCTCCTCCTCCTCCTCCTCTTCCTCCTCTTCCTCCTCCTCCTCCTCCCGTCTTCCCCTCCGCACCCACCTCCGCCTTCCCGTCCTCCCCGTCCCCTTCCAACTCCTAGACCGCGCCATCCGCGTCGTCGCTCTTGCTCCCCCCCATAATCAGCCCCCCCCAAACCGCGTCCTCATCGTTCATTTCCTGCTGCGGCGGCGGCTGGCGGAGGCAGCTCGCCACCGTCGTCGATCGTCTTCCGCCGTGCGCTTCGATGTGCCAGCTGATCGCATCGAAGAGGCATGTGAGTACATGGTCAAGGCGCCCTTGCTCGGCCCCCCGTGGGTCTGCTGGGGCGAGATGTCAGGCGCGCGGGCGAAACTAAATTCTGGGCGCTTCGGTTAACGCCACCAGACCACGCAGAAACGATGGCCCGGCGAATTGCCCCGAGGGATCGGGAGAAGCACGCAGTGGAGTGACTGGCTGGGCCGAGGGAATCGCTGCGCCCCAAGAGGGGAACGGAGGAAAAGCATCGGGCGAGGGTGATGGGGGGGTGCGGGCAATGGGCGAGAGATGATGAATAACGTGCGGATGAGGAAGACAAGGGCGAGGAATCTATGACTTTAGAATCGCCAGATGCATCTGGAATGTCTCTGGGGGCCCCATCGGGTGTCTCGCGAGGGCCATGTTGGATCGTGGTGGATGCCTCTTTGGAGCGTGGTGGGTGTCTCGGGGGAGCAATGTGAGACCTCCGTGCGATCTCGTGGGTGCCTCTTGGGGACCTCCCGGAGGCCTCTCGTGGTCTCCTGGATGCGTCGCGGGCCCGTCTCGGGGCGCTGTCGGGGTCGAGCGTCGGGGCAGCGTTGGTGCCGTATTGGGGAAGCTCGATAAACGAATGGGGCAGCGAACAAGGGTATCAAAGGGGGGGGGGGGGGGGCGCAACTTTGCCCGCTACAGAATCCAAAGAAACAAAAACGATAGTTGCAATCTCGCCGAAGCCTTCTGGACGTGCATGAGAGGGGGTAAACCCGCCCACGGATGGGCCGAGGGGAGATAACTCGCGCGCAGAGGGCAGTGGGGGCCATTTTGCGACCCCGCCCCTCTCCCCTTATCGCCCCGCCCGTCCATGTCCGCTCACGCGCGTCTCGCCTGATCGCACGTTTTCGAAGTCTCTGCGCCCAGAGGAAGCGTTTCGTGCCCTCTACATAGTCGAGGCGTTTCTTCACGCGCTCCTGGTCGGAACGCGAGGATTGGTCCGCGACCCCGGCGGGGGCGGGCGACGGCGCGTGCGCGATCGAGAAGGCGCGTTGGTAACACAAAACTCATGTACGGCATCGTGCAAATATGGATGCCATCGCGATGTCGTCGCCATGCCATCGCAGATGTCATCGCGATGACACGGCGATGACATCTGCGATGACACGTCGACGACGCGGCGATGACGCACCGGCCTTTACCCCTGATCGTCTCGGTCCTCGTGTCTGCTTTATCTCCAGGTCCTCCTCGTCGTCGTCATGGTATTCCTCCTCCCCGTCGTCATCCTCCACGCTCATTCTGTCTGATCTCCCCTCCCCTGGTCGGGGGTGGGGGCGTCGCGGGGTCGGGGCCGCGGGGCAGCGGTTGGGCCTGCGCGAGCCGGGCCATTCTGCTGGCCAAGAAGCTCGGCGTGCAGACGTCGCTGCCGACGAGTCTGAAGGATGCGCTCCGCGCTTGGACTCCGGAGCAGATGGAGATGATGGGGATGGCGAGGCAGCCAGTAGGAATGATAACTGGAGCGTTGGCAGCGGGAGGGCTGGCGGGAAGAAATAACGCTAGGGCCCGAGGAAGATTGCGGGGGAAGATGAGGGGGTGGGTGAGGAGGGGGAGGAGGAAGGGGGAACGGTGATATGATGAGGGTAATGATGAGGACGGGGATGGGTGGATGATGTATATGCAATCCTCTGCCCCATCCACGGGGTGGTGCTGCGGCTGAGGGCAGCGCGGCTGCAGGCGCTGCTGCAGGCGTTGGTGCTGGCGCTACTGACGGCGATGATGCACGCTGCCAATGTCGCCGCCGCAAGAGGGCGAAGTCGGTCGATGACGCGGGTGGGCAGGCGAAGCCGGCCGAGGGGCATGCGGAAAATTAACCATCAACCGAGAAACTGAATCATCGTCGATCGAACGAAACCCAGTACTCGTGACACTTGAGGGGTTGTCGATTGGGTCCAGGGCCGACGCGCTAGGGTCGATGCAATCAGGGCTCGAGAGTCCACTCCTCCGTGTTCGCGTGCGCGTGCATCTCGTCGTCCTCATCGTTCTCCGCCTCGCCCTCCTTCCACCGCTGCGCCGCCTCCCATCCCGCCCCCTCGCCCATCCCGCCCCCCTCGTGCCAGGGGCCCCTTGGTCGGCCAGCTCGTCGCGGGGGCTGGTGGCAGCGTCGCGAAGTTCAGGAACACCGCGGGCGAGAGCGAGCTCGCGCGCGCTCTGGAGCTGCCGAGGGACGTCGTTCCCCCGCCCAGTCGCGTCGCCAAGATCTGCGACAGGCTGGCGGCGATCGGGCGGATCAAGTCCCTTCCCGACCCTGATAGCGATTCCGAGAGAAAGAAGAAGAAGGGGAGCGCCCGCAAGACCAAGAAAGTGAAGGCGGCCGAGTAGGGCTGAGTTTTTGGTTCCAGGGGTCTGCGTCGTATAGTTTTGACCGGGTCGAAATGCTTCCCGCGGGGGTTGGTTGCAGTGCGACCTCGTTTGGTTGTTCTAGCGTCAGCGCCTAGTTGGCATTCGATTTGGTTTTGCGGCTGGCGCGTGCGCGGGCAAACCATGATGTCATCTGATTCTTTGATGCTGACGCTGGTTTTCAGACCAGGGGTCGTGAAAGCAACTGCGCTCACTCTGCGGAGTAGGAGGGGTGCGATTTGGTCCTGGCTGTTTTTGTTGTTTGGGCTTGGAAAATTCAGCGACGATGCCGATGGCATCGCGACGACATCGCGATGCCATCGCGATGCCGGTGACACCCAGTGACGCCCGGTGACGCCTGGTGACGCATCGTCGATACCATGTGTTTTATCTGGCTTGGTGCCGATGCCTCGGGTTTGCAAGTGTGGCCCCGCGCGCGCAGACGACATCCGGTGACGATGATGTCCCGATGACATCCCGAGGACATCCCGATGACATGCGCTGTGGCCTGTGCGCGCGGTAATTTCCTGTGTTTTTGCGTGTGCTGGTCGACTCTGCGCTTGACCTGTCATCCACGCGGTGACATGTGCTGCTCTGTTTGCTGAGGAGAGCTTGTGGAGCGACGCCGTGGCAGGCCGAGCCGCATTATTTGACCGGTGACTTCAAGTTTGCGCACGCGCCGAGCCCGCGCGCAGGTTTCCCCGCCTGCGGGGGCAGCAGACTTGCGGAACGAGCTGCCCACTATCGGACTCGGTCGATCAAACACACGCACAAACGATGCATCGCAGACCTCGCTCGATTCCGCGTTGATGTCGCTCGAGTCGTACTTTCTGGCGCAGCTTTCGCAGGTCGAAGCGATCGCTTGCATGGTGAAACCTGCTCGTGGTTGTGCATGGCAGGAGTCTGCCCTGTGTTGGTTGTTGCCCGAGCCTGGTGCAACGCGTATGATCAAATAGTTGGCGTGACATACGTATTGAACATTCCGTGCGCTGGCTATCATCGTATATGGGAACATGAGATTTCATCGCACGATCAATGTTTGCATACACGCAAAACACACATATACACACACGACAACACAAGCAACTAACTTATCGCAACATAGGGTACCTCGCGCTTCACATAGAAGATGCCTGCCCGCACGTCCCAAGCCAGCATCATAACAACATGGCGCCGACTCCGGCTCCCAAAACGACCCGGCCCGTAGGCCCAATGCGTTGCCAGGCCAGAAACCCCGTCCGATGTGACAGCCTGCCCGTCAGCCTAGAGGATGCTCGATGTGCTTGCAGGGTGTGGGCATCTGGTTGGCGGCAACAGCCTGTGCTATACTGGTAGGACCGCCGCGTCGGAAGGTGTGTGTGTCCGCTGGCCCTACTGTTATGTTCTCTTTCCCCGTCTCGTCCTCGCGCGCGTGCTACGTGTGCCGATCGTCCTCGATTGCGCCTATTGCCCGTCCCACTCCGCCACCGCCTTCTCGCCTCCGACGCCGCCGTGCCCGCGCCCACTCCGCGCCATCCCTCTTTCCCCTTCTCTTTTTCACAACTGCCCCCGCCTGCCGTTCAGCGCCCTGGCGCTCCGTGCCCTCTCCTGCTGTGTGCTGTCCTCTGCCGCGCTCTTAATCATGTTGTTCCTCGCCCTCATCTTCCCTGCGCCCCCTCGTCATGTCGTGCTATTTTCGTCGCCGTCAGAACCGTCGCCATCGACGCCGACATCTTGAACGCATCTCCGCGCCATCAACGCGCGTGAACTGCGCGCCACCACTGACCCCGCAACAATTTGTCTCGAGTGCCCCGGTGGCCAGCAGGTGGACGTGCCACCCGGGCAACTGCGCGGGCCCCTTCGAAACTGCAGGCCTGCGCGCGTGAGCAGCCGTGGCGCGAGCACCCAGGCAGAACGAGATGCCGGGCGCAAGCTGCTGCAACTCCTGCTTAGACTTTATTCGACAGCCAAGCTCAGCGCGATGGAGTTGGCGCAAGCCTGCAACTTTGCAACCGCACCTGGTGCGCCTGGAGCTGCGTTGTCCCTGCGCGCGCTGCCGCCAGGGCATCGATTGGGCAAGTGCCGGGCTCTGCTCGACAGGGTCATGCCACAGCCACGCCGCCTCATCACGATCCCGGCGCCATTCAATATCAACAGGGCTGCGGCGAGAACGACCAGTCATATCCTTGCGCGGTGCGTATGGGGCTCTATTGAAGACGAACTTGTAGCCGGCCCCTTCTTGCTGTTAATCATTGACGGGGCGTCAGATGATATCGGCGAGACAGTCGTGGACCTCCCTGTCTACGAGGGTCACCCTGTGGTGGCCGAGGCGGCGAAAGCGCGCGGGCAGCGACCCGTGCCCGTGGCGCACTACTTAGATGGGGTACATGTCCGCCAGCCTGCGGCTGGCAAAAACGACTCCGTCTTAGGGGTCTGGTGCATAAATGTATTCTCGATGCGTCGGCATTTATCACCGATCTAATTTGCTCTGACGCGTGCATGTGCGGCTGCAAAGGCTGGTGCAGCATGTTTCCACATCGCGCCGCTGCCCGATTGATGTTTCAAGCCGTGGCGACAGGCGTGCGTCCGCAGACCCTGCGCGACGGGCGCGACTGCGACCCATCATGCCCGGTTGGACAAAACGCATTGGGCGCCCCGCGCCTCTCATACACATCAGCATTCGTGTGCGTCAAGGGGGGCTGGGCAGAGCGCGCCAAGCCATTAGGAATTAGCCCCTGGAACAGCACAGTTTCTGCGTGTCATTTCTGCGCGTTGTGTCTTGGCAAATCCCATTCATTATGCGACGGGCATGCAATGGCAATTGCGCAAGCGTAGCTGGCTGCGACGCATCGCGCAGGCGCCGCGAGGTCGCGCTCCTCCTGAGGACGACCGACGACCACCAGGCACTGCTACGCGTCTTGAGGTGGCGCAAGCCCGATCAGAAACAACCGTTGTCAGGCAGACTGGTGATCGTGGATAATGTGGCATGCGGCGTGCAGCTGTTCGTCGGAGACCGCGTGGGGCCATCAGGCACGATGATGGACATAGCTGCCCTGCGCGCCCTGGAGGACCAGCAGGCACGGGCGCAAGTCCTTGGATCCTGTTTCTCACAGGTACCCGGTTTTCGACATGATGCGGCTCGCCGCATCCGCGTGCGCCGACCTTGCTGTGAATGAATTCCACTGTCTGTGCTTCGGGCCCACAATTCTGTATATTTCTGCGTGTGCGGGGGGGGTTGTGTTACCCAGCGCGTGGCGATTCTCGGGCGCTGCGGCCCAGATCATAGAGATGGGAGTCAGACGAATATCTGCAGAGCTCCAAGTCTGGCAGGGCAACAACAACATTTCCCATGATCAGCGTCTAGGCAGTCTCGCGCCGAAGATGCTAGGTAAGAAGAAGCAGTCCACCATCCAGGCTGGCAGGGTTCACAGTAATTGTCGTCGTGTTGTCTTTATCCTTCCTCCCCCCTCTGACTCCGCCCCCAGCCCCGCCCTCGCCCCCGCCTCGCGCTCGCCCCCCCCCCCCCCCCCCCCCCCCCCCCCCCCCCCCCCCTCATCCCCCCTTCCCAGCCGCCGCGTTGCACTTCTTCGCCCCATTCGCCTTCCAACTCGATGCTACGGTAGTTTACAATCCCCTTCCCCCGCGCCTAGAATGCGCGCCCTCCCCCTGGCCCCTCGTCATCCACCTCCTCCTCCTCCTCCCCTCCGCCCCCTCCGCCTCCGCCTCCTCCTCCTCGTTCCTCGTCCTCGGCTTCCTCCCCATCTCCTGTCCCCCTCCTCCTCCTTTTCCTCCTCGCCCTCGCCCCCCCCTCCCCCCCCCCTCCCCTCCGCCCCCCCTTCCTCCTCCTGGCGGGGCGGCGGTGGCAACGTCGGCCCCGCCAAGCGAGACGGAAAAAAAGGGGCGCTACCAGGGGTGCTCTTCTGTGTGCGACTTGTGCGGGGGGGGGGGGGGGGCGGGGGCGTCCCCAGTGCTTATAAGTGTTGTGGTCGTTAGCTATCGGCGTTTCGGTTCGCGCTCTAGCGCGGTTTCATGTCTTCTAACATGTAGAAACAAGTCCGATCTCCTCTGGATCCCATACCGCATCCCAATGTTCCGATAGACCCCCCCCCCCTGTCTAGCCCGTGCCCGATCGTCCATGGCCCTTCCATCGTCCTCCCGTCTCGCGCCCGAATAATTTCTTTTGCACTCTTCGTAGTCCGATCGCATCTCTTCCTATAATATATATATATATGTATATATGTATATGTATATGTATGTATATATATATATGCACATATGGATCTACCTGGTCCTGTCTCTCTCGCTCATCCCCCCCCGCGGCATCCTTCGCTCCTGCCCTGCGCGTCTAATTATTTCGCCCGGTATAGATAATGTGTATATATACATATTGAGAGAGATAGTGGCACGCTGAATAATGGACCATGTTCACCTGCATCTAATGCCGCGCGCATACATTAACGGCTCATCTGTCTTCGGAGGAGCGCGCGCGCCACTGGGGGGGATTCGCTGCCTGGGGAACGCGCGTCATCGGGGTGCCATCGCGATGCCATGTCAGATGACGTGCCCGATGACATCGCGAGAACTTGATCGCAAGTGCGCGCGTTCCTTTGCGAATCGCAGCGCGACCAGCCCGCGGCCCCCGACTGATTGGGCCCAGTGGCGCGCGCCCCCCGCAGGGGGCCGGTGGCGGGGGCGGGGCGAGGGTCGGTGCGTGAACGGGGATGATAGGCGATCGGGTGATGCGCGGCGATGAAGTTTCTGCGCAAATTGGGAGGCGGGCGACGAGAGGGATAGAGCCAGCCAAGCAGCGAGAGAAATAGAGAGAGAGAGAGAGAGAGAGAGAGAGAGAGAGAGAGAGAGAGAGAGAGAGAGAGAGAGAGAGAGAGAGAGAGAGAGGGGCAGATAGGAATAACGAGAGGGAGAGATAGAGATAGAGAGAAACGTCAGCAACGATTGAGCGGGCGATTTCTCTCCCTCTATGTGCTCGTGGA